TTTTTTTTTTTTTTGTTTTTCAGTAATACATCTTCACTAAAAGAACTATGAATCAATTAACTTTCACCTGCTTCAGGTTCAAAAGAGTGAGTAGTCTTTTTTTTTTTTTTGTTTTTCAGTAATACATCTTCACTAAAAGAACTATGAATCAATTAACTTTCACCTGCTTCAGGTTCAAAAGAGTGAGTAGTCTTCTGAGGTCAAAAGACTCCATCACGTGTAGGTGAGCAGAARGAGAGTAAGGACTGAACATCATTGGCATGTTGTGGGCACCCTAGMATGCATCATATCACCATTTTCCCAACTACCTTACTGATGTTTTGCCAGGAAAAAGAGTTGCCAAGTTGGAAGAGGTTGCCTCTGCTTACCTCTGGTAGACGGAGACCCTGCACTGCAGCCCTTTCCATCCACACAAGGACTATGGCAGAGCCATTCTTTGCTCCGTGTTCACACCCTCAACGAGTAGCATTATGGCTGGATTCATCAAACCGAAATTTGTCAGTTGCTACTGAAGCTGGTTTGGCAGAGCGCTCTAATGACCCCTTCCCAAACAAAAACCAAGAGCAAACAATAGCTGGCAACAACAGCAGCAGCTGCAGTATTTTTCTCAGAGCTGTTGTGGAGCTCAACTTCTTTAACAGTGTCAGAAGTTTGCCTCCTGATTAGGAAAGCAGCATTATATCTTCTAGGTGGATAAAGAAGTGAAAACAMAGGTAGGCAGCAGGTTTCTCTTAGTCACAAACCTCAAGTACTTCTTTTCYCACAGTGAGAATAATTAATCCTTCTGTGAAATAGGATTTATTTTTACAAAAACTGAAACTCTCCTTCTCTGAAWATTGTAGAGAGATGAATGCAAGGGAAAATTCTCTGGCATTTCATTAAGAATCTTTTCCATAAACAGTTGGCTGCCTAAATATTTAAACTTACCCTATATGATGTACTATAATTTGAATTTTTTTTTTTTCCCTGTTTAACAGAAAAAAAATTCAAAAAACACAAATCAGTGACTTCAGGAAACCTAACTGATCTTTAATTTTCTGTGAAACATTTTTATAGGAGTTACCTTCCACATCTTCATCTGGAGTTAGACAAGTTTGGTTGCCTGAGTTCTCCTCTGGAAACTGCGTGCAGTCGGTGTCTTCTGGCCACTGCAGACCTACAATGCCAAGTACAGACTCACAGCGTTCCTTGGATTGCTCACACAACGTCCTGCGGATACAAAGGGGAGTTGCCTAAAACTATTGAGAAAAAGCTTCAGGAATTCCCAGTTACTGGAACTTTATTGTCCTAACCAAAGTTAAAGAGGAAGAGCAAGGAAAAGTATGTTAATCACATTTCTTTATCAATGTGATAAAATGTGTAGTTGATAGAGTGGCCTGAACAGCCATAACCATTCCTTTTTTAAAAAATATTGGTTCCTCTCTCCTCCTTGCTTTAACAAACCCCATCATAACAGATGCAGAATTACAATCTGAATTTGCAATTCATGGTTGGAAAGTATAATTTGGTTGGGAAGTTTGTCACTGCAAAACTGCATTAGCCAAACTCAGTTTCATATTTAAAAAGACAAGTAAAGCAATGCATGTGTGCTGTTTAGCTCAATTAGTCACTGCTACCCTTGAACAAGAAAATTGTTTTGAAAAGGGAGCATCAGATTCTCAGAACATGCTCAGCGTGTGTGCTCAGAATGCAATATTCTGCCCTTGGGAGCTTCAAATTGTGGTTAAGTCCTTCTAGATTCAAGTAAGAGTGTTATAAAAGAAGAGCTTTGAATCCTGTCCTTTGCATCCCACATGCAATATTCTATCTTCCTTGTTACGTTCCAACGTGAGAATTGAGCAATATCTTAGCAAATCTCCGTGTCTCACTCTTTGTTTGCACTAAGAGGTTTATCACTTTGTTTGCACTAAGAGGTTTATCACTACATAAATACATATTTTCTACTTGACAAAATTTTATACCATAGGATATACTAGCACATTGTCAATACAGTTTTCTTTCAACACAGTGAACGGTGAGAGAACAGTCAAAAAGTTTATCAAATAAGTGCGAAGTGTAAGTTATTATGCTACAAAGAACGACATGGCAAAACTGGGCTATATATTTCTAATACACTTCTCTAATTTAGAAATATAAACATGGATTAAAATCTCAGTTTCTATTAACAGGATTTGGAAAAGACTTTGTATAAATCAAGTGTTACACAAATGCAATAAAAAAAATGAATAGGTTTCAAATTACCTAATTTTTCTACGTTTAGGTTCCTTTCATAGTATCACTTTCTAAGCAAGCACGGAAAAATGGAAAATACTTCATACACTTACCCAGTAAACACATTTTGAAAATTATTTGAATTGCCATTCTTGTACTTKTTCTGAAAACTTCAAAAAGTGATTACATGAATGAAATAAACTAGATTTAATGWTCTGACAAAATATAATGCTAAACCCTTTACAATGGGATTACAGAGGAAAAATCTGGCATTTTTAATGGAAGCAGAAAATTTGGAAAGAATAATATCACAGGTAGTGTTAGTCAAGAAGTAAATTAGAAGTATTTTACCTGCAAGGTGGGATCCGCTGATTTGTGTAGGGGTCACACTTTGGTACTAGGATTGTACAGGCAAAAAACATAAGGTACTTATAGCAGTTAGTCTGAACCAAGGCTGGGAAAAGAGAAGATTCCCAGCTGATAGAGGCTTCCTTCTGAGTCCTGTGGCCCAGATAGTTTGGATAATTGGTATAGTTGTAAGGCAAGTTCATACAGAGTTCCAGGGTAATTGGTTCGCACTGACCTTGCATGGAGGAGAAAAAAAAAAAAAAAAAAGTGTAAGATTAGATGAAATACTGAAAAAGTAACTGCAAAAGTAACAAATTAACTAGTCAGAACACACATAAATTTCAGCACTTGAGACTCCGTATGTTCCCTATCAGTATAGGGAATATAGAGCATATCAGTAGAGAAAGGAGGTTTTGACCTAACAATCTATTCAGAGAAGATTCCCTTGCTAATATCTTCCTGGGTAACATCTTAACTTTTAAAGAGTACAACAAACCATTCTTCAGAAACAAATTTATTTTTATTTATTTATTTTTTATTATTATTATTATTTTTAAACCACTCTTTTGATCGTTTTCCAAGCTGGTATCCTATGCCATAGCACACTTCCTACTGTTACATTAAGCTATCATAATACACCTYATCCCAGCAAGGTAATTGTGAAAATTCAGAGGATCGTAAAATAATTCAGCATGGAAGGGACCTCAGGTAATCACTAATGCAGACTCCTGCTCAAATTAGAGTGAGTGTGAGACCAAACCAGATTACTCAGGGCTTTATCCAGTCAAATCTTGAAAAGGGCCAAGAATGGAGATTGCCTCCTGGATGGAAACTCCTGAAAATCTTTCTAGTTAGAAAATATAAAGTCCTTTTTGATGTATCCCTATAAAGATTCCCTATTTGACAATTCATCCACAGAATTAGTATTAAAGGTTTATCTTCTTTTTCTCATGATGGAACCCAAATAAAGGCATGCAATTTTGAAGTCTATGCAGCATCCTAAGTGTTCATATAACATAACTTTAAACAAAACTAAAGACTGGAAAAATACATGTATGAATGCCTCTTATTTAAGGAGATTTATTTGATTTCTGGAATGCCCCTGCAGAACGGCTCTTTACATATTTTCAGTATGAAGACAATTCTAGCAATGTGTTTAGAAAGCTTGCATCACCTTGTGAGCAACAGCGTCACTGCAAGACTAGGAAGAAACCCTTGAATCTCAAGCCCACTTTCTTGCAATAAGGCGACAAAATAACAAACAGAGGGTACCCAGGAAACAATTTGGTTGAATTTTATAGAGTTCAGGTAATCCAGATGTTAATCTTCCCTTCTGAAGTCAGTCCTACAGTTTAGTAGATCTGACTACTCTCTTATATATAGTATGTTCAGTTACATTTTTTAAGGAGTTAAGTACAAGGAAAAAAAAATCCATTGCATCTGTTATCTTAAGTCCCTCTTATTATTATCTCTCTATTTATGCCCCTTTTTAATGTCTTAATATTTTTATTATTAACTTGCTCTACATACTATATAGGAATTAGATCCATGCAGAGTAAAACCAGATATTATACTAGATATGAGGATCTGTTATCTACCTGCACCAATTCTTTTGAGTTCTCTCAATTACAGTTTCAACAACAGTGAATATGAATTTATTCTGTTATTCTAAAAATGTTGTTACTGCATTACAGCRCAGGCCTAAACTGATCCGAGATCATCACATATGGAGAGCATCCATCATATTCGATGTTATGAAAGCCTAGGCTTAGCCAGTAATTTTCCAACAAAAGAGTTATTTGGGTCAGAAGATGCTGGTTTGTCAAAGTTGAAATTTTCCACGGGAATTCTCATTTCTAGCTGAAGATGAAATAACTCTGGTCAAACTATGAACAGCAAAAATAACATGAAGACAATAGTGCTTCCAGATGTTATGCGAAATAACTCTCCCAAATTCTCCTGCTGTTCCATTGTGTAAAAACAATTAAATATGCACTGGACCAGAAAGGGAGAGAGAGAGAGTTGGTCCAGAAATCTCATTCAGATTATGTGCTATTCCTGTAGAGAATTACAGACTATTGCCCGTACTATGAGTATGAAGCATCTTCACTGAAAAGCTCTTTGGTTTCTCATAACATTGAATTGGAATATTGTTTAAAATATATATATATCACAAGTGAAAAAAAAAAAAATGTTTCCAGTCTTAACCCTTCCAATCTTTCCCAAAATTGCTATCATATGTATAAGGGGATATAAAAATACAGGGAAAGGTATTTCTCAAATTGCTTTGGACCATATTGGCATAATAAAGATGAGATCAAGAGGGAAAGGATGCTTCGAGCTTGCTCTTGTTGTGAGCAGGAYTGAGTTGGAGCAGAGTTGAGTTGCTTGAGAAATCCTTGTGTTTTACAGGATTGCACTCACTGTTTACAAAATGTACTTTGCATAGGAGGGAACTGCCTGTCCGAGGCTCTCCTACTCTGCCTGAAGGACACAAGCATGAGAGACTGCTGTGGGGAATTACGCAGAATTTCTGCWTAAGGCTGCAGCAAGTGCCTTGTTTGCCAGCCAAACAAAGGGCACCTGTCTCATGCACATGACCAAATGGCAGTCAGCTGCAAGGCTAGGGTTCCTGTCACAYACATCCATTGCACATGTTCTCCAGCAAGCAGTTTCTGTAAGTTAAAAGTATTTAAAAAGAAAAAAAAAGAGCATTTTGTAATTTTCTAAGTGACCCCAAAAATAACTCCCTGCACGCCATTCCCAAATGCTTCAGTAATACCAAAAAGTGACATGCCACATGCCCAGTAACTTAAAAGTTGCTACTGTTTTATACATATAAGATAAGGCTTTAGTGTAATGCCCATAACTTTCGGAGGTTTTATGAGCAAAAAAAGCTACAAAATATCACATTAAACTACTGCAATCCCTATTCCCAAGCAATCCATAGTTCAGTGGCCGAGTCAGTAATGCTCTAGTAAAAATCATTGAACTCTTCCCATGGAGAAACAGCATCTGCTCTCAGAAACACAAGCCACTGGAGTAGCTGCTTCTCCTGCAGGCAGAGAGCTGGAACTAAACATCCTTCACTCCAAGAAGCCTTCAGCCCTCAGCAATTTTTTTCTTATCATAAATACTTATACTTGTGACTATCTGGAGTGGCATTACTCAAATCAGTAATTATATCCAAACGAATACCCATGGATTTTGATCTTAAAATGACAGGAAAACACGTTCTTCATATATCACTAAAGGCAAGAAAAGAATGACTGATATAATTCAGTTAAGATCTGAGATTTTAACCATAAAATGAATCACGATTCTTTTATTAAAAGCTAAACTGAACTGTTAGCAGCTTGATCAGTTATATAGATACATTACTTCTCATTCGTGAAACTTYTCTTACTGTTTCTTGAAGAATGATGGTTTGGTCCAAAACATGATCAAAAAGAGGAAACCCTCTTTTGGAAGCTGGAGGATGCCTCCTGATTGCAGGCTATGATACTTATGATGAGTTTTAACTACCCTAGTGTCTGCTTGAAGGGCAATACGCCAAATCACAAGTGGTCCAGAAGATTCCGAAGTGTGTTGATGACAACTGCTTGATGCAGATGATTGATAAACCAACTACAGAGAATGCTCTGCTTGACCTCCTAACTAACGAGGAAGAGTGGAAGTTAAAGTTACAGGCAGCCTTGGCTGCAGCAATCACAGATGGTAAAGTTGAAAATCTGGTTGAATTACAATCCTGGATCTGCAGAAGAATGTAAGAGCCAATGCAAGACTGTCATATAGGGTAAAAAGGCCCCGGATGATTTTAAAGCAGAGCCTCCTCAGAGCTCCCTTACAATGGGCAGAAAAGCACGCATTGCAGAAGGCCAGTTTGGCTGAACAGAGTTCATCTGGAGCTGAAACTACCGAATGATGTAAATGGGAAGAAGGGTTCATAAAAATAAATACRTTGGCAGCAAAAGGAAGACTGAGAAAAGCAAGAGGCCAAGGTTCCCACTGCCTCTTCTGCCTGTTCACACTGGTGAGGTMTCTAATTTAGCCCCTCATGTCCCTGATACTACCAGATACTCCCCAGGTCCCAGATATTACCACGTCTGTGAGAGTGGAGCAGTTCCCAGAGCAAAGAAAGCTAGAGGTAAGAGCACCTCAACCAACAAGACACGCATGTCCATGGCATCATATGGAACACAATTCAGCATGCTGAGGGAACTGGCCAATGCCATCACAAAGCTGCTCTTTTTAATCTTCAAAAGGTTATGGTTATCTTACTGCTCTTAACTACCACCATAAGGCAAGGTAAAAAGTGAATGGAGACAGACTCTTCTCAGAAGGACACAGGGATAGGATGAGAGAGAACAGRCAAGTTGGACTACAGCACATTCCATTCAGTATGATATTAGGAAACCAAAGTTTTACTGCAAGAGTAGTGTAACACTGGAACAAGGTSCCTATCCTTTAATATTTTCAGAACAGAACTGTACAAGGTCCAGGGCAACCTCATCCAGTTGACACTACTTTGAGCAGGAGTTTGGGCTAGATGACCTCCAGATGTCTCTTCCCATCAAAATTATTCCATGCATCTAAATAATGCAATAAAGTATCTTTTCAACATTACCAAACAGGCCACCTCATAGGACCAAAGTGTACATTGGAGAGAGAACTGCTCAAAGCCACAAAGCCATTATAGGATATGGACACACATTCATACACAAGTGAGGCAACCTTGCTGTGTAGCCCATGTGCTAAGTGGCCTGTGTCGATGAGATTCTTTGAACCCACTGCTCAGTTTCAGTTCCACACAAAGGAAGATAGGCTGTGAGGAAGATCCTGATCTCCTACAGTATGCATTGGTAAAAAGATTTTGCCACTTTTTAACTGATTTTGCCACTTTGAATATCCAAATTCAACGCAAAGAATAGGGTCTTCTCCAGATGACTAAATGTTATCAATCTTCCTTTCCTTACATTTTGAAAATAAATCAGTAGCTTGGTCTTACATTATGTTCTTTCCTCTGTGTATACACTGAATTTCCTTTAATGTTAAGAAAGAGCACAACTGTAAACACTAATAATAATAGCTCAAAAAATCRTGGAGAGAGGAAAATCTCGATTAGAAATGTCATAAGTCTCTCCTAGTACCTTACACTACAATCAACAATTATGGTAAAACTTTTGCTTGCACTTTGAATTTTTCAACACTTAATCATTAAATATTTGGGCATTGGATAGTAAACAAAGGTATTGCTTTTAAATAAAGGTATTGCTTACTAAGTGCTGTCTTCATTATACTCCAGAATACCCTAAAACAGCAGGAAGCATGTGACCTACTTACTGCAGTTTGTCTGGCTGTCTCTCATGTCACAGGGAGAAGATCCACAGGGATCAGGACAGGAAGCACATCTCTGGTCGTCCTCCTGACAGAGGGTTTGACCTGCAGAAAAGAAAAAAAATACTATTCTAATGATTTTCCAGGTCTTTAAAATTGACTGGCGTGTATTGAWGAGAAACTACAGAGAGATTCATCACAATCAAGTATTTCCTTTACCAAACACAGTAAGTACCTTACAACACTTGAAAGTTGGAAGGGAAAAAATGTGTGCAGCCGTCTCCAGATGCTTTTCATTCTTCTTTACTCCTATACTTAAGATGAGAAATTATATCCCAGCTTCTGAATGAGAGGTGTGGATCTCTGAAAGACTTTTACCCTCCTGCTTGCGGCGAAGTATTAAAGGTCACGTTAATCACATTACAAATGGAACAATAGGTCCTAGCCAAAAGAGAATACCCTCTGGAAATTATTTTCCAGTGCCATTCAGTTGATCTGCTTTTCATTTTATGATTGTTATAGTGGACAATAAAAACTATCTTGAAGAAAGGTTGTCTGAGCTGAAGCTTTATTGCCCTGGTTAAAAAAAAATAAAGACAAAAATCTTATGAATCTAAAGATGGATATCCAGATAACAGAAAAGCCCTTCATCCAAAAGCTGGATAATCTCTCTCTGACACTCTACAACCTTCTCTCTCATAATCATACCAACTCCTCTCAAAAGCCTCAAAATCTCTGGAAAGGCATAGATACTCTTTCTATTTTTTTTTTTTTTTTGGTCCCAATTTCATTTTATTTCTTGCAAAATCAGTAATTTGACTGAATATTCTTGAACTCAAAGACTGAAAAGTTGGATTTTTATCACCTCATCCCATTAAAAAAGTTTATTCTAACTTTTCCTTATTATTTCTATTGCAATTTTGCCCACAAGAATTAGGTAGCTGTACGTGACTTCTTTTTATTGGGCATATAGAAACCCTGAAGAAATCAGTACTTGTCCCAAAGAACTGAGAGTCTAGTCTATACAGCTTAGTGAATTAAAGCTATCCACACCTCTGTGAGTTAACTTTGCTTCCTGTGTGGTGTACCYTCAAGCAATGGAGATAATTCTTTTGCTCTCACAACTGAATGCCCTATTTTCCAGAAACGTTTAATTGCAAAATGGAACGTGAAAGGCAGAAAAAGCCTTTTGACTTCTAATACTGCTAAAAATCTTTACATTTTAAAAGTTTGCTCCATCTCCGTCTTTTCCCTCAGTGGGAGAGTCTCAACTCTTCAAAAACTTCTCTGTGCTACAGTATATTCCAAGCCCAGCACAGTCAATGCTGAGTTTCTGTAAACATACCCTACTCTGCCTTTTGGAGGGATCAGAGACCCAGCTGTCAGTACATCTATATTAGATTTCTATTTTCACAAATTGAATGACAGCAGTAATGTCATTAGGTGCCATAATTACATTTCCTTACGGTATGTAGGGAAGGAAAGTATTTTTCTTATTCAGGCACAGATGAAGTTAATGGTCATTTATAATCCTTATATGTATATTCTTGTACAAAAGAGGTTTCTATCCTTATATGGACAAGTAACAAGGGATTACATCGCAATTCCACATTTTTTTGCTGATTTCATATATTTCCTGTGTTTGTAGCGAATATTCCAGATCATTTAAGCAACAACTTTACCAGGCATATATAAATTCCATAACTTGTGGAGAAGAAAACACTTCATATTTAGTGCACATCTTATTACATTTTCTCTAGTTGCTGAAATCAACCGTCTACGTAAGGAAGTTGCAAAATGAAATTCTGGCTTGATTTAAATGAACTTTTCAAGRAACTGAAGAGAAATTACCCGAATGATGCCCAAACTCTGCCTATGTATTCTCAAGTAAATTTAGGCAGAACGAGCTATGGTTCTATCAGAGGCACATTTCTCCACTACAAAATGTTGCAAAATATTAGACAGATTTTTTTTTTTTTTAAATTTAGGAATGGATAACAGAKTATGGGTATTTTTCTTATTTAAAAGACTCGCATTTTAACATTAAGAAGAAAAATCTTTTAGGATATAGGCAGAATATTGACTAGCATAATTATGACCACTTCTTTTCTGCATTTAGTATCCTTCCATCTGCATGTCTTGAATGAAAAATATATATATATATATATATATATTTCTTAAAATTCCCTAGAGACAAAAAGCAGCTAGAAACAAGCACACCAGAGGCTTTTAGCCCAGATCACACATCAACATTTTCATCTAAATTCTCTTCATTAAGGACAAATAATTTTAACAGGATTCAGATCGGTGAATTTAAAAATTTTAAATTGTTATTTCTAGAAAGCTCTTAACTCTTTAGAGTTTATCTCATTCTTTTATCTCATCTCTTTCACAATAACAACTATTAGCAAGAGAAACAGAGGTGATGGAATTTATAGAATAAAACACCAAAACCCAGGAATTATGCAGAAAAAAAGTGAGCATTTTGTGAGATTACACAGTGAGAATTTGGTCCCATATTTTTATACTGCCAGAGTCATAATTAGAAGGAATTTCCTGCAGGAATTGTTTTGCAACTTCATCAGAAATTGCAGAGAAGAATGATGGTATTTTCTGTGTTTTATAGTCTTAGTTATCTTTTGGAAAAAAAAGACATTTAAATTGTTGTGAGATCCAGAGATCCAGAGAACTCAACAAGGACAGAAGGAAGCGAGTAGAAATATACATGAAAGCATTTTTCTAGCCTAATTTCCTAAGCAAATCAGGTTTATATCATCACACTGGGTACTTACACTAAATTATTGGTCCTACTCTAATAACCTTTGAACGTGTTTTCCTATTATGACTATGTCTGAGAGAGCACTCAGGTTTTCTAAATAAACTGAATACTTAAAAGTTTATTAAAAATAAACTTTTGAAAGTAAGAGTCATAAGAGAACTATACTAATATTTCTCCCACTGAAGAAGGGACTGCAATGTGAATGAACTTACGAGAGGCATGAGAATCCACATATGAAAAATACCTTCAAATCCCCAGCTTGAACATGTTTTTTGTGAAAGCAACTGATAAATTCTGCTTACAGTTTCCTTTGTGAAAGCAGAGATTGCACAATAAGAAGAGCACAATGAGGCATGATCCTTACTTTCACTGCAATTTTCTTCATCACTTCCATCTTTACAGTCATTATCTCCATCACACTGGAACGCACTGGGAATGCACTGCCCATTTTTGCACTCCACCAGACCTTGACTATGACATGCTAGAGAAAACAGACAACATTCAGATTAATTTAGGTTACTGAAAGTCTCGGGTTTTTTTGGATATCCTGCTAAAGTTCTGTTATGTTGCTTATGATTGCTTACGCTTATCATTGAGGTCACTAGATATTTTTTCAAGGCAAAAGCTATGTTTTCAATAGCCTGGTGCTCATTTTTAGGGAACTAAACTCTGTATGCCAGGTSCTAGCAACAGACTGAATTCAAGGCTCAGCAATTTTAAAAGAAAATAAAATAGTTTCTWCTCATATAAAGATTCTGTCACCTTTTCTTCGCACACTTATTTACAAYCCCTTATTTGTATTAGGGTGTCAGATATGGGAGAAAACAACACGATAGTGGTGCGAGACCAAAACGCAAGAGGGTGCTAGAAGATGCATGAGCAAATAAGTTATGATACCTTTAATGATTTTTAAATATTTGTTAATATCCCAATATTTGATTTTGCAACCTCAGTATTATTCTAATATAATTTCTATGTATGTAYTTATTGTCATCATCATAAACATTTCTGGGAAAACAGAAGTTCAAACCATGACAAGGTGTGATAAGCCAAATACAGACACTCAAATACAGACAGCTGTCACAAATGTTCTGAAATCAAGCAAGCTTATGGTTTTATCTTTCCAAAGACAAATATTATATAATATCTGGGGCTTGTTTTCTAATGAAAGAAACAGAAAACTTATTTGGAGATTTAAGAAAACTTACAGCAATTGATTTCGTCTGACTTGTCTGTACAGTCATGGTCACCATCACATACCCAATCAGCTGTTATACATCGTCCATCTCCACACTGATGATGCATCACTGGGTTACAATCTGAATGCAGTGTAAGAACAAGATCAAAAATGAATATGTCAGCAAGTGAAGAATTTTTATGTTTGCCCGATTATTCTATTTCTCTAAACCAATCATTTTTGCTAATTCCTCCTCTTCCTTAGTAAATTTCAGTATGTTTTTTTTTTTGCATCTGCAAATTCTTTTGCAGATGGTGGTTACATATGTTCTGAATACTATTTCATGTTTAGACAGTGCTGTGCTCATTTAATCTCTCAGATGAACAACTATTTCCAAGACCCTAAGATTTATTGAGTAGATTAAAAGATCTTCTGGCTGCTCACCTCTTGGGAAGACTTTCAGTAAGCCAACTTTTTCAGTCACTATCAGAGAAAATCATGTCTTACATCTTTTACTAAGTGGTAAACAATTTGTTTTTCAACAGCCATATTTGTTACACTTAGTCAGAAACCAGAAACTGTTTTTGCAATGTTGACAGATTTTTTCATAAGAAACTTAACTAGTCTAACTTTATCTTCATCATTTTGTCAGGATGCTTTTTCAAATAACGCAATGGATCCTGCTGAGAAGGCTGAGTTAAAATACACGCAGTTGTAACAGGTCTTAGAGCATGTCAAGCTTAAGGGAGTGATCATTATCAGACCCATATTTACCTTTTACTTTTGGTGTTCTTTTCTTAGAGATTTAGTGGGGAGAGGAGAAGGGAGAGTTGAAAATATTTGACATGGTTTCTATTTCACTCCAAACTGTTTATCAGCCATACTAATTTACTCCATATAGAGGGTGAGGTGTTGGTCCTGCAGATGTTTCAGGCAGTTATGATTTAGCAGGAAAAATCTAACACAGTTCATGAGGAAAGTGTATATTCACAAGGTATATTAACCATCTCCACTCCAAGCTCCCTGGAAGCTTGATGGATACAGGTTTGTACCACTCGAACTGCATTAGTATATTTGTTTGGGTCTGGCAACACAACTGTTCTCAATTTATCGTGGTCACATACTAGACAATTAGTTCATAAAGTGCCTTTATGGTAATGTTTGAGGACCAAGACCTTGACCTTGGAAATGCTATATGGCCTAGCCGTATACACAAAGTATTTCAGTGCAACGAATCTGTCCATATTTTATACAAGTCAAAATGCAGTGTGAACATAGACAAGCTGGTAGGAAAAAAAGATTTGGACCGTGGTTCAACATTGTGTTCCAGTTTGTGATTTATTCACTCCATCTGACTCATGGCCAGGTAAGCCATCCTGGCTAAATTTACACTGAAAGCACACATGCAGGTCAGTGTGCCAACCCAGTCAAGAAACCATCTGTAGTCCATATAGAGGAAGTTGGATTTAAATTTTTTTTACAGAAAAATGATCTCAAGATGGTGATGGCAGGATTCAGACTAATATTTAGGGAAATCTTTCATCAGATAGTTTTTTGTTTGGTTTTTTTTTTTTTTTTTTTTTTTTGCTTTGAAGTGGTGTGCTTTTTATTAAAAAGAGAAATAGGTGAGAAATAATATTTAAACTTTTAAAAAAGTATTATAAATTATCACTTAATTCTCAGGCACAGGACTAGAAGCAAAAGTTAGATAAATAAGTTCTAGTCTTGTGCTTGAGAAGATTTTGAATACTTATGTGCAAAGATCATTAACTTGTCTGACAAAATTTTATTTTTTTTCATGACAACAACTGCAAGTAGTAAGAAAATTATAACAAGGCATAAATAACAAAGTCAATTAAAAACAACATTTTAAGGAGCAGCAGGTTTTGATGGTCAAGATATGCACACTCCTGACAACATTTATGTAAAACACTTCAGCCACAAAACCGTTTGTCTCCAGTCTGTGGCCTCTTCTGGTTTTCCTTAGCTTCAGTTAAAGTCATCCAAATGGACAAGAAAGCAACTATAACATCCTGGCTAAGCCTAAAACATATCAATTTTTTTCTACAAAACCTCAGAAATTCAAATTTTCTCAAACTCTATTTTCTAACTTTTTCAAATGGTTATAACCATGTGTAAATTGTCTCCCCAAAAGAACATCAATGAGATATATTATTGTTTGGAGCAGTTTAAGAAAAATGATTTCCAGGCTAAGCAATACTGCCATCTTAAAAACTATAGAAAAGTATAAATTTTCCATTTACCACAGTTTTGTTCATCACTAAGGTCTCCACAGTCATCATATCCATCACACACAAAGGTATAATTGAGGCATTTTCCTGTGTTACAACGAAATACATCATCACTGCAATCTACAAAACAAAATTTTGCAACATGTCAACATAATTTTGGGATTTTTTAATAAAATATCAACAAATACATTTAATAAAAAGATTAGCTTCCAATTTACARTAATACTTAAGATATGTCCTTTTTGAATTAATATAGAGGAAAAAAAGTCAAAAGTATTTTGGAGTATTTTGATTTTGTTCTACCAATTGCTTTTCATCTGTATGATCAACAGCAGGAGGAGAAAGTAGCCCCTGCAGCATAAAAACTGTATTTGATTCCTCTTTAGTCTCCTTTCATTTGCCACATGCTAATATATGCAAGAAAGTCATCTGGCAGAAATTTTTTGGTACACTACACTCAAAGTACTCAAAATGTATCCAAGCTGCAGAAGAAAATGAATAATGAAAAATAATAAGAAACTGAAATACTCAATTCTGGATATAGATCATACCCTGGTAAATAAGCCAGCAACCAGAGGTTGGTGAAAACAGGATGATATCACAACCTTGCTGACAAATCAACAYGGTCATGCAATCATGAGAAGATTGCAAAGTATAAACAATTTCATCCCAAGCTTCATCCATGGTAGAACAGCAGAATGCCTTTTCCACTAATACATTTCTTGCTTGGAGTCAATGATTAGAAAAATAAAGACTTGAACATACTGCACAGCGAGGATAAATCTAGGATAGTGTTGATTCTAAAAGATACCGTGCACTCAAAAATCTCACTCTGATCATATTTTCAAAAACAAATCACTGAAAAGCTGTTTTGGTATAACAGATCATCAGCCTTTTGAAGAAACACATGCATTCTCATGGCTTTTTATACATTATCACTATACGCTTTGAATACATAATGACAGGTAAATAAATGAAGAGCTTATTATTTAGGAACAATTATTCATGAGATAAAAGATTCCTCCCTTTTTTCCTCTCACATGTTATCAATCACATCCAAACATGGCTCTAGGTTAATGATTGCTAAGTCAGAAACAGTAATCCATTTCCATAAGAGTAATATTATTTTTTCTGATCTTGATAAAAGATAAATTCTAATTTGCTTTTGTTATAGAAAAGCTTTTTCATACTAGCAAAATGTACAGCAAACAGTAAACTTTCTAATATTGGCTAAGTGYTTTTGCCACAAATAAAGATCAAAATATCAAAATGTGTATAGATAAAGTATTATCAAAGAAAGTTGTGTGGTTTATAGCATGTTAGGAGAGGCAAGAGTAACAGATATTGTTATTAGATGGAGCTGAAGCTTCTATCTGCAAAATGAGGATCTGCAGACCCTGCCTTTGAGCTCACTTTTGGTCAACAAAGGATGAATTTCATTTTACACAGGTTTAGGGCCCAGAACATGGTCTGATGTCATGCCTTCAAGGGACACATACCACTGACATCCCTAAGTGAGTTTAGCCTTTCTTTCCATGGCTAGCACCCACAGTAAAGCCCGGATAAATACTCCATGAGACCACTCAAGGTGCATGGTTGCACTTTGCCTGGAACCCAGGTCTCTGCACAGAAGAGAAGCACTGAAGCTGTACAGCTTCAATGTATGTTATACACTGTTAGGCACAGCACTTACATAGGAGGTATGACAGGTATGACATAGGGTTTCTGTCCCTTCAAGTCAGTGGAAGTCAAGAATCTGAAGTCTATCATCTCCTAGTTGTAATTACTAAGATGCAAAGGCAAGAATTCACTGTAAGCAAAAGGAACAAAACTCTAGCTTCAAGAAATCTTAAAAAAGGATTTAGCATTCTGCTTCCAGGTGACGCTCTGAGACAGCTACATATGTTTCAGATAAGTGCAAAAGCTCAKAAATATCCTTGCTCTCTGCATCCCTTGTCCCCATCCCTTCTAGATCCAAGAACCTTTCTACCAAGGGATGGAGATTTTTGGTTCTTGTTTCTGGCTTGCTTAATGCCCTCTAGGGACTATRCAGGGACTACACTCCCCAGCTTCAAATGTTCGAATCATCTTGCTCATCACGAATTTGACTTCACAAGTCTGAAACTTTTTGAATTTACTGTTACACTTCCTTAATAGCCACCTGAATCTGACACACCACTTAGTAGAAAAGACAGTAAGAGATCTTAAGAGCTAGTTGGGGAAGTCTGTAAGGTTTTACAAATCTCAGCTTTAGAATCTGCATGATAATCATTTCTTGCCCTTCTCCCACAAAAATACTTATGCTTTATACTAGTTTCACATCATCTTACAAAGTCCAAGCAGAATTCATAGCACAATGCTAAGAACAGGGCTTCAGGATATGAATTAATATAATAACGCYGTCATGAGTTTTGTAGGTTCATTAGCTTAAAAAATAAGCAAAAGGCATGCAAACTGTAAATACCAAGAACCCAAAACTAAATGAAAATATGTAAGTTCTAGTTTCATGTAAGCAGAACAATAGCCAGTGGAGAGTAAAACTTGAAACACTATTTGTTTGAATCTGTAACAGCATGAAGTACTCTGGCAACTCTCTGTCCTCCTTGATCAGTTTGTAACTCTGGCAGCTTCTCTGCTTCTATTGCACCCCTTGAAAATGAAAAAAAGCTGGCTTTTCCTACAGTGCCTCCTCTGGATAAGTTCACAGTTTCATTTCTCCCCATGCCCCAATTTACGCTTACATTCATACCTCAGTAACTGCAACAGTGACATTGAGAGTATGGCAGTTTTCAGGCCCACACAGACAGAGTAAATAAAAAAAAAAATAGAGACTTCATTCAAGTGAATTATATTTTTTCACAAGTAGTGATTAAAAAATTGAAAAGAAATGAATGTGTAAAAGCATCAAGATAAACAGCAGAACAAGAGTCAAAGGAATGCCATAAATTGCCATAGAGAATGACTTCATATAATTGATTCAGCAGTAAGATGAAAAACAATATGAATTCAAGAAGATTAAGGCCATTGCTGGAAACACATAAAGAAAGTGGAAAAAGCCCCCCCCAAGATCCTCAGGAAAATTTTCACCAGAAGTCCCCTTCCAAAGAGTGTAAAAAGCTGTGAAAAAAATAATAATAAAAAAAAAAAAAAAAATAGTAATTCATCACTACAAATGAAAAAGGACCCAAGACATTACAAGGACTCAAGACCCAGAGTTCCTCATCCTACCCGTTATACACAAGAGAACCAAGCCAGAGCACAGGTGCACACACACGTTGGTGCTTTAAAAATGGGAGGGTGAGAGAATGAAATCCATGACAGAACAAGTGTGAGTGAAATCAATTCTGTTTAATATGAGTATTGCCTTACAGCTCTGTGAGGCCATTAAGTCTTCCATTAATTTCTTTTGGAAACTATGACTAATTTGAATGATTTGATTTTCAAACAAAATCTAAAGTTAAACATTTATACCAGTTAACAACATTTAAATTCCAAAATCTTACTGGAATTATTTACCAGCCATTTCTCTTTCTGCTCATTCCTTTATTAGGAAATGATGAATTAATCAGGCTTAGATCACAATTTTTTTAAAAAAATTAAATCTAAATGCTAACATGTAAGCAAGAATACTTCCATTTGAATTGCAAAGCATACTTACCAAAACAGTTTTCCAACAGTTTTCCAAACTGTTATTATAAAATCATACATCTCTTTTTAGTGCATCCAATTACACCACCAAGTTCCAGTCTTTTCAATATAAATCAATCAAATASCTTCCTGAAATTCTAAGTGCTGCTTCCTGGACACATTGAGGAGTTGATTTTATTAAGATAAATAAACACCAAATCAAGCTAAATGAACTACTGGGATCGCAGCACATTTTGCAGCTGCAAGAAATGCATTTGCCAAAAAAAWAAAAAATGGTCAGCATTAATTGTTGCTGTCCCTGAGAAATCATCTTGCTCGCAAGCTGATCCAATCTTATGTTACAGCTTTTATGAAGAACAGGATGGASAGCAAGAACCGAGCRAGGTGCGAGCCTGAAACACATCAGRGATTGAAATGATGCTGGAAAGAGCAGGGAACGGCCACGTACACAGGGCTCTGCTGTGACAGAAAGAAATCTCTTAATGGCATCCAAACACTGTGCAGAATTTACTGAGAAAAGGAAGTTCCTGAGCCGATGGAAACCAATCCTGAAATGAAGGACCCAGTTTWTATGGCCACAGACAGGAGGACAGATTTGTCTATAAATCCTCTTTTATTTCCATTCTGTCTTACCAAGTTGCTTTCAGTTTTCTGATATAAATGGTTAATTATTATTATTTATATTCTAATAAAAGTTGGCCTTTTGAATGTAAGAGCCCTATGGGAAGTAATGAAAAAGGCCGGACATTCGTATACCAGCTCCGACAGACTCAGGGTTCCTTCCCAGCCCTGTAGATTGAGAGGAGTCTCATGCAGAGCCTTCCCAGGGCTATAACGGAGCTCCAGGGTAATTTTTGCTGCTAAACAAATCTAGTGTTACAGAAGTTTGCCTGCTAGAAGAAAAAATGCAAATATTTTTCTCCATCTGTGTTCCCCAAACTCCTTGCTTACATTACTGATGTAGCCAAAATAGCCATTTATCTAAGTTAAATCTGTTGCTATTGTTTCATTTTCTCCATTCCCTGTCCCTCAAAAACAAAAACAAAATAAAATAAATTTCATTGTAAACAATCTTTCCTAGARCCAAGTAAAGCTTGGACTCAATAAATGAATAGATTTTCCATGTGTTTTCCTAGGTCCCRTTAAACTGGAAAGATATGCATATGTAAGCACTAGCAGTCAGAATTTAGTTTATAAATAATAGAGTAAGATACAAAAAAAAAAAATCAAAATTTGACTTTCTTTCTCATGCATCACAATGAATTCTTAAGTATTTAATGACTAATTGGTAAAAAAATATTTTCATCACTAAGAAAATCCTGGTTACAGAACAAATTACTTCTCAAGTGTTYTGCATGTAAAGCATGAAGTGCTTTRTTACTAGATKTTAAAAATTAATCATTTACTAAATTTAATTACATATTAATTTTAAAATTAAAACTTCATTTATCATTGATGAACCCTATAGAAAAAAAACGGAAAAGTCTTCAGACTACTCATGCATTTACAATTTCTATATATTGTTTAGGTTTGAAGCAAGTATTTTAGGATTAAAAGTTACTTCTGTGACAGAGGTTACTTCTGAATGGACCTTTAAAAGTGTGTTTACCTTAAACTAGGAATAAAACACTGCTACACATACATCATAATTTTAGGATTATTATTTGGCCATAAAAATAACTACCGTAAGTTAACAGTAAGGTTGACTTGATGGTGTATTTTCATTCCTTAATATGTTCTGGTAAAAATGTTCCTAATAACTGTAGTGCCCAAAGAATGTGGAGGAGCAAGGATTGCAGTGCAGACTGCATCGTTTTTTTATCAGTCAACTCTCAGGCGGACAAGTCCTAATTCAGGTTTGCTATTTCTGTTCTATAATTTAAAAAGGTTTTACCTTAAAAAAAATTAAACTTCTTCATTCCTCAGTTCTTTATCAGTGATCTAATAAAAGATATTCTTTGCTTCTAAACCTTATGTCTTTTAAGACACAGGTTTTCTTTTAAAAGTAACTCGTTAAATTTATAACGCCTGTTGTTTCAAGACATGGAACTTTTTTTTTTCTCCTTATACTACTGTATCTTTGCCCACTTCTAATGGAGCTTGAGCTCCAAAGTCTCACAGGCATTTCTGAAACTTTTAGACTACCTTAAAACAGAACTTAAGCCTGACAAGAAAAACCTCAAAAGATTGAAATATGAAAAACTTACTACATTAGGGGAAATATATAAATCTCCATTRAATACACTGTAGACTATTCAGGTAAAAACACTCTGTAGTCTCACTTATATTGAGACAAGGAGGAAATCCCATCCACCATTTTTTTCCTTAGAGAATCCCAGAGAAAATCTGTCAGCACCATTCTCAAAAATGGCTTCATGAGTCTTGGAATGCCCAGGAGATGTGGGCTCTTAAATCATTAATGAGAAAGAAATCTTCTGAGGGGAGTCTCAACGGCACAGATTKGAATTCAATGCAAGGACTTGCATCTCCTGAAATCTGAACGCACAGCACTATATTGTGGCATCATGTTATACTACAGTTCCTATTTACTCCATGAACCTCATTTTTCTTTTATCTTTCATTTTTTCACCCTTCTCATTGTTTTCCCACTGCTTATTTGCTCAGTTTTCTTAAAGGCAGTAGTAATCCTATGATGTTCTTGTTAGAAAAGAAAAACACATTGGAGATACAATCCACAGTTAAGAATAAAATAAGACATTAAGCATTCATACCTATTTTTCTTTTCTATCTATTTTGATATTTATTTAAATAGACCTCATGAAGGTTGAGGCCAGAACTGTCAAAGCAGATGGTTTTGCACGTACTGTAGAATCAATGCCAAGGACTAGGAAAAGGATGCACTGAGAAGTTTCCAATTGATTGTTTCCAAGCAGAAGTGCCATTTTTTGCTTATTACTTATTAAAAAAAATACCCCCAAATAATTCTAATCTTCCTATCATTCCTTGGAGAAATCATAGCAGTTCAATTACTAGTGACATTTGCTTATCTCCTTCCCAGCATAAAGTTTCCAGGATATAGAAACATTGTGTGGTGAGACTGAGCAAAGCTAAACTTACTCACTTGTAACTCAAGAGTTCACATGCTCGTAATATGCAAACACCATGCAAAGCTCTTATGGCATCCCAATATCTTTAGTTTTTAAGCTCCTCTCACTGGATTCAGTATGTGCTGCAGCTGAGCACCACAGGGCTGAAGCAACTTACTGCAATGGACCTCATCGCTCCAGTCATCGCAGTCGTTGTAGCCGTTGCACTGCAGTTTCCCTGGGATGCAGATCCCGCTAGCGCACAGGAAGCTCTCCTCCCCTCCACACAGYGCTGCCAAAGAGCAGGAAAAATAAACAAGCAACGTATGCGAAGCTGCTCAGAGAGCAAGGGAATACAAGGAAATGAAAGATACTTGGAACAACCAGTCGATAACAATTAATCGACACATTTAAGCAACAAGTCCCAAAATTAATCAAACTCAAGCACATTCATACTGGCCATTTTTAATTTTTAAGTAACCAAAGCTAAGTAAGTATCTAAGTTGAGTTTGTCAGTAAGGTCCAATACACCACTACAGTAAAGAGCAAGCACTTCTATAGGTAACTCTTAAACACCGACCTTAGGATGTGGTTAAATGTGCTATTTCTTTCCATAAAATAGATATTTATGATTAAATATGCAACTAAAGTAACAACAGATTGATTTTTGCAACCYATGTGTTCAACCACAAGATCATAATTTTGAGATTGAAGAGTCATAATACAGACATTTCCTAACAGGGAAGTTTCCCCAAACATTCTTATAACTCCTAAAACACTAGAAAAGCTTCATTGCTGTTATTTTATACATGGGGAATTGAGATACATAGAGAGATAAAAAATAGGACTTTGGATGTCCCACTGGGGATGCCTTGCCATGAAAACCAGAGAGAGACATCTCAAAATCATCTACAACTCAAGTACTTCAAGAGGGTTAAAAACAGGGCGATACAGATCACTATTAAACTTTTGATCTTAGCACAAAAAATAGAGGCCAAAATTCCAACCTTTGCTTTTAAAAACTTTTGGCTGAGACAATCATTATAAAACACACACATACCATTAGATAGCAACATAAAGCAAAGATATCAAGTGAAATATAGATGGCAGGCAAGGCAAATATAAAAAAAATTCTGTTCAGCATCTATTTTTTTAAAGCTACAATTAATAATAATGATAATCAGCAAGACTAAGCAAACAAAGCTTCACCTTCAATAAACAATCAGCCCCCCAAATTCCTTCATTTTAACCATATATATTTTAAATAAGAGTTTTAAGAAGTTAAGAAAAARGAAGACATTTTTTCAACATAAAAATTATTGAACATAATAACGTGTGACAACAGTAAATTCAAACAATGAAAGCTCATGAAAGGTCACCATTTTGTCAATAGAAATTACTCTTGTAATTCAGCTTTGCATTTAACTTTGCCAAGAACAATAGAGACTGCAGATTGCAGCCTTCARTCTTACAATTTTACACACACTTGGAAGAATGCAAACATAAAAGTAAAACAAAACGGAAAGAAAAGTGATGCTGAAGAAATCTGGATACATGTTGATGAAATTTGGAAGTGTGCAGATACGATTTCAGGATACAAAGAGATGAAAGGAAAAAAAGGAAGGAAAAGAATGAACTAATAAATATCAGCCGTCCATACTATGACATAATTTGAAATCTTTATGTGTTGCTTCTGTTTCACAGAAATTCTAGAATTCATTACTCATTGACGTTTATGTTTATCATAAAACTTAATGGAAACTTTTTCTTAAATATTCATACATATGACTTTTATTCTAGATTTTAAAGTGCTTTACAATTGAGGATAGCTAGTGTTACGCTCTTTTTTAAAAAAATCCATGAAAAGCCAAAGGATAGGTGATTTATCCAATGACAAACAAGAAAATTAGATGCACAAGTCAAAGTGGTTAATAGAAGTCTCATGCTGAAAATCTGAACCCAGCTCGAAAAAAGAAAATTAGATTATATCCCTGCTCTGACATAGCTTTCTTGCTTATTTGTTATCACTAAAGCATTTTTAATGAGTCCTAGTCTCCTCTGAGGTTCATGGAAGTTGTTCTTAAAATCAAATGTTTAAAAAGAAAATAAATAAATGAAATCAATTCTTCAAATTCTTTATGAATATGTGGCATGGAATAGAAGAAGATTTCTGTTCCTTGTATTATGCCTCTAATGCTTTCTCCAGATCAGTTTTGTCATATGTCACCAGTGTGAGTTTCTCATACTTTCTTTGGGATCAGTTTATATATGATCTCATTGGCAGGATATTTTCCCTGAGAATTAGCTGAAATACCTCCACAGTTTGTCTTTATTATAACTCCCTCTTACTTCTCCCCATTCTGAGGAATGGTAGTCAAAAACAGTTGTTTATGACATATCTTCCTCAATATCATTATCAAAACACAAGTCAACTTCTTTTYCTAATCTTCTCTGAATTCTTACTTATTTTTTAAAGCATCAAATGTTATGCCATTTTGACAACAAGTTTTAATAAAACTTCATTGCCTTACAATATGTAGTGTCAACAGGACCAAAACCTGCCCAATTCATTTTGGTAGCCAAATGATACTTTTTAATTCTTCCTCTTCTTGTCCTTCAACATAATATTTTAACTACAGAAAACTAGTTACTATTATGTACTGAAGGTCTTCAAAGCTCCATCAGACTCAAATGCAAGGCTTCATTCAGTCTTCTGAAAACATGTCTCTAATCAGACTACAGAAGAAATAAAATCTCTTACATAAGGTCATATCCCCTTTAAACCCATAACTGACAACTAAATTGAGTATCTGAAGTAACATCTATATCAAGGAGATACAGAAAGTCTTTACAAACTATCTTGTTTTATATATAAATTATGTGTYAGAACAATACTCGTATAGCTAAGTTGTATCGCTGCTAACTCAAAGTTAGGACACTGCCCTAAATAAATTCRTTCTTCAGATGCTCTGTAAGTCACAAAGCTATTACAAAAAATAGCAGTTCCTCAGGATAAAATATTTAACATTAGTTGATTAATATGTGGAATTCACATGGCAATCAAACATCATTTTTCTACTCCAGAAGTCTCTACAACTACATGTACAAAACCAGGTGATGAATAAAAAATTCAAATCCTTCTTTATAATATTTACATCCATGTATAAAGCTCTTATACAAGTAGATTTCTAGAGTGTCAGAGAAAGGCATAAAGAATTATCWTATAATTTTGACTGCTAAAATATTAGTAAATATTTTTTCCTAAAATCTTTTCTATTTTCTGGTTTATAAAACATCTTTCATTGTTTTATCATTCAAGGATAGATAGAAATTCTTTAAAAAATCATTATTTCCTCTAGTAAAACTAAAAAATAAAAATAAAAAAAAAAAAGGGCTGATTTATAAGCCACCATGAAACACCATATAAAATGACCTATATCAGCCAAGACGTTCACAGGAAACAACGAATGTTTTATGGTTTCCAAAGACAAAGGCGCTCTTCCCAGTTCTTTCACAAACTTTTTTCATTAGTTTGGAAAACTTAGCTAACCTGCGCCTCAGCTCCTTACCTTAAAAAAGAGACTTCTCTGTTTTCTCAGGCTCTTTTATCTTTGAAAAGTCATCAGTTTTGGTACTATAAAGTTAACACTGTAGTAAGCCTTAAGAATTTATCTTCACCCTGATAAATTGATATATCCAGGTTTCCCAGAGGGAGTGAAACATATCATTTAGGAAAATATCAGGATAGCTCCCAGAGGAACATTATTGAATGTAAGATGGCCAAGAGGAAAAATTAAAAGATCATCATCAAATGGAAACAAGAAATTTTTTGATACAGAACAAAACCATCTAACATCGCCAGCAATGAATGACACTTTTTCAAAAGATCTCAACAAGCAGTCTAAAATAGAGTAGTACACCTGTAAAACAAGTCCTGGAGACTAAAGAAAGAACCCTTAATTTGCCTACAAAAAAATATCATTTCCATTCATGGTCAGCCTTTCTGCACAACAACACAATGCTCCTTCTCCACAGTCTTGCTAACCTCTGCGTGCATGGTGGATGCCAAGATGCACCAGTGAGCACTGGACATGCCTAAACATGCACAGTGAGTTTCTCAGAAATGACAAATAGCTCCAGCTCACGCTGTCTGCAAGTGCAATTAATTATCCAGATTTCCAATTTTATTTTTGGTCATAACTCTCCTTCCTATTAGATTATGGCAATAGACACACACACAAACACACATGCTGTCACTCAGTGCCTCCCCTTTTACTTTTTGACAGCAGTGGGTTATTTTTACAACATAGTTCCATGTTTTCTAAGCCTGGAATATTAATTTACTCTCCTCAAGAAAAAGAGCAATTCTAGATTTAAACAACTGACACTCTTGTATGAAACATGTGCTTGTAATAAAGAGTTATATGAATAATTTCAAAATCTTTTCTGTAATATTCCCCTTCGCGCTCTCTATTTGGGCAGCACATGACCTAGATTTTCCAATAAAAACATTATTTTCCAATTGTGTAATGGGGTCATGGATGCTGTAGGCAACAATACATAGGCAATTATTTTTTTTTTCTTCAAGAGGTCTTCTGGTTTTGCAAGAAGGTGAACAAAACATATATGACTGAGAAAAAAAAAAAGAGTTTTCAGTTGTTCATGTCATTTAAATCTGAACTTTTATCTGAGACAAGGCAGGGCAAAACCACCATGCTTTTGCATACCCTTCATATGTGCTCTCAGGGGCTTCTCCTCACTCACGGCTGCATGGTTGGAGATGTTTGCTAACTTCTGCCTCTGCGAGCCCTGTAGCCTCACCGTTTTTTGGAAGGGCAAACTACTGAACTGCAGTATAGGATAGGCTTAATTACAATATGAGAGCATTCACATTTGACTTTTACAGAAGAAAAAAAATGCAGTGAGAAATTTTTCAAGTTGTAAGAAAAGATGAATAATCACTTTCACTGCACTCTCTGAGACCACCAGTATGTGATTTTTTCTTTTTTTTCTAAAAGTCTGGGGTTATGTTCAATGTATAGCTCCTATTTCCTTTAGATGCACATACAAGAACATGTGCCAGTAGCAAATCAAATCCCAGGTACTCAAATTATGAAACCAGTTAATCAGCGATGTGCAAAAAAACAATTGCAAACATTTTGATTCCAGTGCTGTGGTCACTACAGGGAATCTACAACAGTGGTATGGAAAGAATCTCATTCTCTATGATAGCATCTATTTTCCTGATTGTGAGCCAATCTTCTTCTTCTTCCAGTTTCCTGCTTTATACAC